CAAACATCTTCTGATTTTCTTCCAGAGCAGCTGCTACCGGTACTTGTTGCTTTCAGAGGGTATTTCTCTTCGCCCTGCACCTGCTACCCATGCTCTCTTCGCAATGATAATGTTAAGGAAGCTGAGATATAAGTCAGTGACTCCCAGAGGCAGCGAACAACTCCTGTGTTTTATGGGCAGTTTATTTTAGTTTTTTCTCTGGGCCATTCCCACTGTTCTTTTCTGTTTTCTCAGCCCACTGAAAATGTTCTGGGAGCTGGAAATCAGGTGGCATGGAAATGTTTCCCAGGCTACATCCAATTTGGTCAAAAGACTTGAAAGTGAGTATGTCTTTATAACACACAAAAAACAAAAGTTCACAAAACCATGTAGGAAACGAAGCAGAAAAGCTCTTGAACTACTTCCAATCCTTTCACCTTGTGGTTAATAGTTAGTTGGTCTGATGCAGAGAAGATTCTTAATGAATATTTGCAGGACTGAACTTAAATGGGCCAGATTGATTGTATGGGCATTATGCATTAAGACTAGTTAAAGACCTGATTTGATGCTCCCAAACAAAGGCAATTCACATGCTTTCAATCAGTGCTCTGGGACAGGCAGTTTTATAAATTTAAATCATTTGTGGTGGTGCTGGTTGTTAAGGGAACAAGAACAACTTTCATCTTGCTCATGGTGGGCTCTGTGAGCTAAGCTCTTACGTCCATGCACAAGGTCCTGTCTGCCCCTTGTCTCTCTGGTCACTCTCTGCATGCTACACCTGACAATGCTGATCACTGCTTCCTTGAACATGAGCTGGCCGGCAGGTAGAAGAGGGCCTTTAATTTGAATCCAGGCATAGGAATAAATAGGGAACTCCATTTGGGCCTTAAGCTCTAAACCGTTTTCCTTTGACCCAGCTTATAACGGATAGTTCTGTTTTGAGATATTAAGCACTGGCCCAGGGATTATTGGATATTATTTTTATTCCTATTGTCTTCATCAGTTTGGGTTGCTGTAAGGAAGTACTATAGACTGGGTAGCTTATAAACAACAGAAATGTATTGCTCACAGTTCTGGGGGCTAAAGTCCAAGTTCAGGATGCCAGTATGGTTGGGTTCTGGTGAGGGTCCTCTTCTGGGCTGCAAATTACTGCCATCTTCTTGTATTTTCACATGGTGGACAGAGAGCTAGAGAGCTCTCTGGGGTCCCTTTTATAAGGGTACTAACTCCACTCATGAGGGCTCTACCTTCATGTCCTAATCACCCCCCAAAGACCCCATCTCCTAATACCATCACATTGGGGGTTAGGATTTTAACATATGAATTTGGGGGGACATAAGCACTCAAGTTATAACATCCATTTAAGTATTGCTCAGGTATTGCTCCTTGTGTGAATAGCTCTTTTAGGAAGCTGGAGAAGAAGAATCGGGAAATTTTTGGGTCTTTCAGCCAAATACGATCAATACCATAAAAAGACCACCTTGACTTTTAACATGAACTTTAACTTCAGTGTCATCTTCCTTGTTTAGGGTCTTCGTGAATGCTGGCGGGGCTCCCTGGCCCTCTTCTATATTAGAAGACATCAGGATGACCAAGGCATCATTGGGCACCTCTACAAAAGGGTAAGTTCAAGAAAAGCTCTGAAAATCAAACAAGTTTGCATATTTAATTTGGGGAACTTTTGCAACCCAGGGTTGTTTCTGGGAGCTGAATTATTTATGTCCTTCTGTGCCTGTTGAGATACAAGAGGGAACATGTGAGGAGGAATTCAGTGCTTTGCTGGTATTGACAGTGGGTGTGCTTTCCCAACAGTCCTAGGGAACAAGGTCCTTGAGAAAGCTGGGCAGTCCCAGATGAAAGGGTCTCTGGGGCAGGGGTGTGCACTCTCTAGGGCTCATCCCAGCACAGCTGCCTCTGGTCTCATGTGCCACTGGAGTGCTGGCCACAGAATGGTGTCTGAGCTAGAGTGGTTTGACTGCTAGTGCAATAGGCATAACCTAGAACAATGTCTAGCACTGCATAGCGAATAAATACATATTTGATGAATGAATGACAGTTTTCTGAATAACAGAGAGGAGGAAACAACTCCCGTCCTCAAAACCTTCCAGTCTCCCCACCCCCTCAGCACTCTTGGAATGGAATCTCAACTCCTTGCAAGGCCTGTGCGATCCTGGCCCTAACCGCTCACCTTTGCTCACTCCGTGCTTATGCCGACACTGACTGACCTCTTCTCTCCCCTCAGACAAGCCGACCTCAAGTCCATCTCAGGACCTTTGTACTTGCCTTTTCCTTTGCCAGAAATTCTCTCCCTCCAGATCTTCCCAAAGGTTACTCATCCACTTCATTGTAATTTCCACCCCACTATCATCTTCTCAAAAAGGCCTTTTCTAACTAATCACTCAAAAATAGCTGCCACCAAGCACCATCCCATGACCACGATTTACCCTGTTCTATTTTTCTACATAGTACTTATCACTCCATCAAATTAAGTTTAGTCATTTATTTATTTTCTATCTCCTCACTAGATAATAAGTTCCTTGACAATTAGGACTTTATCTTATTCACTGCTCTTATGCCAAGTTCCTAAAACATGGCCAGTCGGTGATCAATAAATATTAGTTGAACAAATAAATGAATGAGTGAATAGATCTTCTGAGAGACCTTTTATCATGACCCAATTACCTCTTACCAGGTCAAGCCCAAGCCATGTGTAGGCAGTAAAAGGTAATGCAAGAACAGTCCCAATCCCACCACCTGGGAGAACTCTGAAGAAATGTCCGGGGAGACACGGTCAATGTGTGCAAGCACACCTAACCAGAGCTCTAAATGGTCTTGAGAGGGTTGGGACCAGAGGATTTTCCATGAACCATCTATATTGTTCTCCTATGGGTGCTGTAACAAATTGGTGGCTTAAAACAGCAGAAATTTATTCTCTCATAGTTCTGGAGACCAGAAGTACAAACTCAAGGTGTCGACAGGGCTGCAGTCTCTCCAGAGCCTCCTCTCGCCTCTGGTGGTGGCTGTCAGCATGCCTTGCCTGGCGGCTGCATCACTCTATCTCTGCCTCCATCTTCACATGGCCTTCTGCTGTGTCTCTGTTGTCTTTTCTTTTGTCTCTGTCAAATATCCCTCTGCCTTTCTCTTATACGGAAACTTGCCATTGGATTTAGGGACCACCTGGATAATTCAGGATGATCTCCCCATCTCCAGACCCTTAACATTATTATCTATGTAAAGAGCCCTTGTCCAAATAAGGTAACATTCATTTTCTGGGATTTAGGATGTGGTGAAGATGTAGACTTCTTTTCGGGAGTCACGCTTCAACCTATTACACCAGCCACATTAAAACTCACCTGAGTAGAGCTAGCATGATCATTTGTCTGTATGTATATTCCCCTGGCTTCAGCCATGTAACCCAAAAGAATGCAGCCTACATTTCATGTGTCTCTAATAAAAGATGTTTAATAGCCATACCTAATTTAATATAATCATTTAATGTATTTTTTTTTAGAATCTGATTCTGTGTCAAGATGCTCTGAAGAATAGCTTTTACCTTTAGGAATGTCTAGTGTTACAATATGACAAACATCTTCCATTTTGTCATTAACTTCATGTTAATACTTGATATTAGAATCCAATTATCTGATGAAAGTGAATTTTTAGTTGACAGGTCAGAAAAAGGTCTTATCCATGTTCCAAAAGATTTATCCCTGGAAACAGCAATCTTAAATATATCATACAATTACATATCTGAGATTCAGACTTCTGATATCTTATCACTGTCAAAGCTGAGGATTTTGATAATTTCTCATAATAGAATCCAGCATGTTGATATCAGTGTTTTTAATTCAACCAGGAATTAGAGTACTTGATTTGTCCCACAACAAGCTGGGAAGATTTCTTGTCATCCTGTGAACTCAAGCCTTAGACTTCTCATTTAATGCATTTGATGTCCTGCCCATATGCAAAGAGTTTGGCAACATGTATCAGCTGAAATTTCTGGGGTTGAGTGCTACACAGTTAGAAAAATATGGAGTGCTTCCAACTGCTCACTTGATATCAGTAAGATTTTGTGGGTTAGAAAGCCTTTTGGGGAAAAAGGAGAGCCTTCAAGACTTCAACACAGAAAGTCTGCACATTGTTTTCCTCATGAAAAAGGAATTCCATTTTATTTTGGATGGGTCATTCAGTACTGTAGTAAATCTGGAATTATTTAATATCAATGTATCTAATTATCTAATATCTAAATTATCTAATATCAATTATCTAATATCTAATATCATTTGTCTGTATGTATATTCCCCTGGCTTCAGCCCGTGTAACCCAAAAGAATGCAGCCTACATTTCATGTGTCTCTAATAAAAGATGTTTAATAGCCATACCTAATTTAATATAATCATTTAATGTATTTTTTTTTAGAATCTGATTCTGTGTCAAGATGCTCTGAAGAATAGCTTTTACCTTTAGGAATGTCTAGTGTTACAATATGACAAACATCTTCCATTTTGTCATTAACTTCAGATAGATAATATATGAAGATATTGATCTATATAGATAGATGATAATGCATGTTCTTATTTCCTAAGTATTCTGGCAAAACTTCAAAGAAATCCAAGGTTATCAAATCTTACTTTAAACAACATTGAAACAACTTGGAATTCTTTCATTAGAATCCTCCAGTTGGTTTGGCATACAACCATAGAGTATTTCTTAATTCCAAATGTGAAACTAGAGGGTCAGTTGACCTTCAGAGATTTTAATTATTCTGGTACTTCCATGAAGGTCTTATCTGTACAGCAAGTTGTCATTCATGTGTTCAATTTTCCACAAAGCGCTGTCTATAAAATCTTTTCGAATATGAACATCCAAAATTTCACAGTGTCTGGTACACCCATGATGCATATGCTTTGCCCATCCCAAATTAGCCCATTCCTATATTTGGATTTTTCCAATAATCTCTTAACAGACATGGTTTTTGAAAATTGTGGAAGCTTAACAGAGTTGGAGACACTTATCTTACAAAAGAATCAATTAAAAGAACTTGTAAAAATAGTTCATATGACCAAGGAGATGAAGTCACTATGACAATTGGATACTAGCCAGAATTCTCTAAGGTATGAAGAAAATGAAGGAAATTGCTCTTGGACTAAAAGTTTCTTAAGCTTAAATATGTCTTCAAATATACTTACTGACTCTGTTTTCAGATGTTTACCTCCCAGGATCAAGGTACTTGATCTTCACAGTAACAGAATAGAGAGGATCCCTAAAGATGTCACCTCTCTGGAAGCTTTGCAAGAACTCAATGTTGCTCTCAATTCTTTAACCGACCTTCCTGGATGTGGCGCCTTTAGCAGCCTCTCTGTACTGATCATTGACCATAATTCGGTTTCCCAGCCATCCACTGATTTCTTCCAGAGCTGCCAGAAGGTTAGGTCAATAAAAGCAGGGAACAATCCATTCCAATGTACCTGCGAGCTAAGAGAATTTGTCAAAAATATAGGCCAAGTATCAAGTGAAGTGGTGGAGGGCTGGCCTGATTCTTATAAGTGTGACTACCCAGAAAGCTATAGGGGAACCCCTCTAAAAGACGTTCACATGTCTCCATTATCCTGCAACACAGCTCTGCTGATGGTCACCATTGGGGCCACCACGCTGGTGCTGGCCGTTACCGTGACCTTCCTCTGCATCTACTTGGATCTGCCCTGGTATCTCCGGATGGTGTGCCAGTGGACCCAGACCCGGCACAGGGCTAGGAACATACCCTTAGAGGAACTCCAGAGAACTCTCCAGTTCCATGCTTTCATTTCTTATAGTGAACATGATTCTGTCTGGGTGAAGAATGAGTTGGTGCCTTGCCTAGAAAAAGAAGATATACGGATTTGCCTCCATGAGAGAAACTTTGTTCCTGGCAAGAGCATTGTGGAAAATATCATAAATTGCATTGAGAAGAGTTACAAGTCCATCTTTGTTTTGTCTCCCCACTTTGTCCAGAGCGAGTGGTGCCATTATGAACTCTACTTTGCCCACCACAATCTCTTCCACGAAGGATCTGACAACTTAATCCTGATCTTGCTGGAGCCCATCCCACAGAACATCATACCCAGCAAGTATCACAAGCTGAAGGCTCTCATGGCACAACGGACTTATTTGGAATGGCCCAAGGAGAAGAGCAAACGAGGACTTTTTTGGGCTAATCTAAGAGCAGCCATTAATATTAAGTTGATGGAGCAAGCAAAAGAAATAAGTCACATGCAGAGCTAAAAATATTTCTTCTTCCCACTGCAAAATATGCCAAAATAAACAAAATTTCCCATTGTCAATGTTGCTACTTTTGGAAGTTCCAACAATGACTTTATTTTGCATCAACACAAGTCTAAACCCAATTTTGAGTTTATGATGTAGATAAAAATATGTGCCTCCTTTCAGGTCCCCGTTTACCATGGTAATAAAAATTAATGAAATAATGTAATTTTGATTTAAGCAGTTAATTTCTGACACATGTTTCTTTGCTGTAACTGAATTCATCAAATTTATCTTGAAGTCAAGAGAAGCACTTGTTTGTCTTCAGTGGTGTATGTTCCTGGGTGCCAGGGTCAATATTAGAAAACTCTGTGACTTTTACTCCTACAGCTGGGTTTCTGTGGGAGATTTATGTAGCTCTTGGTGCCTTCCCCATTTCCACTCAGCATTCACCTCCACATGCTGAAGGCTGCTCATTCCCACTGCTGGAGACTATGTCTGAAGGGGCTTCTTCCTGGCTATGAGGTTCATACAAAGGGCAATTCAGAAGTGATGGGAGAGCTATCCTTGGAAGCAGCCCCCAATCAATGTCAGAAAGAAAACCGGTGGATAAATAGGTCAACTTTCTCACCCAGTGTTTGAGATAAATCTGGGGTGTACTTTACACTCTCCCTGACTTTCTCTGTAAGATAAGATTCTGGTTGTCCACCATAGAAATGGCTTGATAAATACAGTATTCTCTACTTGGCTCCTTCGTAATTTTTTCTCATTTATTCATTCCTCTATGGGTGTTTTCTGGGATTACTTCTGAAATAAACTACTTGCAGCTGAATACTTGTCTCAGAGTCTGCTTCCAGGGAACCCAAACCAAGAGTGTTTTCTACCTCAATCGAAATGGAAATTTGGAGTCTAGTTTTCTGTGGCTGGAGATCTTGCTGAGATTCTAGTTGTCTGAACTAACACACACAAGAGCCTTTGCTCTTTTGCTCAGAAGGAAGAATATAGTTGATATGTAGTACTTCTATACATAGCATCCCTCTCTTCGGGGAACTATTAAAATAGAGGATGAGTGGATTGGGCAGTGCAAGGAATGGACTATATCAGATGTTTTTATACTCATCAAACATCTTCTCAGTCTACCTTTCTACTCTGGTAGCCAGCTCTGGACAAGTGTAGCCTGACAAGCACCTTGTCATAATTGCAACATTTAACTTTCACATGACTTCACGAATAGCACTGCATGGGATGCTTACAGAAGCCTGTCCAACCATTCTGAGACATTCACAAACCTAGAAGTGCCAAGGATATTCTGTGAGGTGACCCTTGACCACTTTGTGATGGGAGCCATTAGATAAATATTCTTCTATTCTTGGGTAAAAACAATAACAAAATAAAATGAGGCATAGTCTACATTGCTTCTCAAACAGTCCCCAATGGCACTGAGCTTTACTTACCCATGGAATAATGAGCTCAATAACTCACTCCTGGATTGGTTTTCCATTCTTCCTTGTTTTACTCTTCTCATTCTCCTCACTCGTCGTGAGCCCTGAGATTACTTCTCCAAACAAAAGACCTGCATACACCTGTCTCATTCTCCACATTTTTGGGGGGAGGGAACCCAAATAACGCATATGTATACTATTAGCTTCTTGCTCTAAGGAACTCACAGTCAATCAGAGGATGTTATATGTATCCAAATAACTAAAATAAAAATCAATGCAACAAAAATATACAATGGAAATTCAGAGTGGGAAAAAAAAGTATTCTTAGAAATGATGGTTTTTCCATTAGTGCCTGAAGGAAGATTTTAACACTGCATTTTTCAACATATGATGAAGAATGGGAAGGCCATTCTAAACAGAGAAAAGACAAGAGCAGAGGCAGGAATACCCAGGCCTATTCTGAGACTGGTGTTCCAGTTTGACTGTACCATGAGGCTTATGAAAAATTACAGTAGGATATGAATATGGAGAGTTATATTAAGAACATATTAAGGATCTTGAAAGTCAAACGATGGAGTTAGAGCTTGAGGATATAGGAAAGTCATCATTAAAACTTCTGTGAAGCATGATAGTGGAAAGCAAATTCAAACCATGAAATGTATGCTAAAAAAAAGTATGAAAACTCTTGTTCTATAATGGAGTTACAACAGCTATTAGAACTGGATTTTCCCATTTTTTCTAGGGTGATTGCACTTCCTATATTGAACTTCATGATTTCACGACCAAGTTTCAACTGCTCATGAAGCAGCTGTATATTAGTTTTCAAGGACAACTGTAAAAAGTACCACAAACTGGGTGATCTGAACAACTGAAATTTATTTTCTCATAGTTTTGGAGCTAGAAGTCCAAAATCAAGGTGTTGGCAGGGTTGGCTTCTTTTGAGAAGAGAGAGGGAAGGATCTGCTCCCAGCCTCTTCTCTCTGTAGATGCTATCTTCTGTCTGTGTCTTCCCTCCATGCCTCTCTGTCTCTAGGTCCAAATTCCCCTTTCATATAATGACACTGATCACATTGGATTAGGGCCACTCTAATGACTCATCTAACTAACTACATCTACAGCAACCTTATAGCCAAAGAAGGTCACATTCTGAAGTACTGGGGTTTGGTATTTCAACATATGAACTTTAGGGGACACAATTTAACTCATAACACCTTATAAGTCTAAAAAAACATCTGTGAAGAGAGGCATAATGTCACTTAGAGTTGTCTAACAAACTCAAGATTTTGAGTAGGGAAATTAGTTCAATCTTATATATAAATAGCTGATCTCACAAGTGGTTTTAAGGAAGCTGGTAGGAAGATGAAATTGTATTGGTGGAATCTCCTGCCAAACAATTCCAAGTTGGGAGATGAAGAATTCAGGCAAAAGCATGGCTAAATATATAGTAATGAAAATAAAAATGATTTACTTCACAGATAAATGAGAGGAAGTATTACAGAATGGGGGACAATGCACCCTCTGAATCAGAAGATCTGGGTCTCAATTCTAGTTCTTACACTTATTTGTGGATGTCCTTGGACAAGTTTCTTAAAACTCCCTAAGCCTAGATTTCAATATTTGTAAAATGTAGCTACAGTAGCTAGTGAAGACCTTTAGATTTCCAGGTGTGAATTAAAGATTAGACCAATATGTGGTCCAATCTACAAGTTCACACAGCAAGCTTTCCAAGTGGTTCTGGTGAAGCCCTTTTGCCTGCAACTGAGGTAGGAGGGAGCACACCCTCCATCCCACTCCCGTCATTCTGGAGAGTAAATGGAACTCATAATACACAAAAACTTCCCTCTAAAATCCTCTTCTCATTTTTAACTCCTCTCAGCCTCTCAACGCCTTTTATTGGCTAGAGGTGGGTGGTCAGCAAAGGTTGCAAAACCAGTTATATAGTCTCATACCTCACTCAAGCACCTCCACCAAAATTTAGGCCAACATAATTCCATTTTATCAGCTTGCTATACTTGTGAGACTGCAATTGAATGAGCATTTTATATGGTGATAATAAAGGTAAAGTAATACGGCAATATATATTGAGAGCTTCAAAGTATTCATGCTCTTTTACCTCATAATTCCACTTTTAGAAATCTATCCCAAGGAAATAAGTTGAAATGTGGAGAAACATTTATTTACAAGTATGTTGATTGCAGGGTCATTGGTAACAGTGAAAAATTGGAAACACTCCAAATTTCCAACAATGGAGAAATGTGTTGTGCTCATTTAATGACACATTTTACAACCTAAAATAATGTATAAGGTTAATATGGTAAGTTTTATGTCATGTATTTTGTTTGTGTGTTTGTTTGTTTTTGGAGACAGAGTCTTGCTCTGTTGCCTGGGTTGGAGTACAGCAATGTCATCATAGCTCATGGCAACCTCACACTCCTGGGCTCAAGCGATTCTCCTGCCTCAGCCTCCCGAGTAGCTGGAACTACAGGCTTGTGCCCCCACTCCCAGCTAATTTTTTCTATTTTTTGTAGAGATAGAGTCTCGCTCTTGCTCAGGCTGGTCTCGAACTCCTGACCTCAAGCATACTGTTATGTGTTTTTTTACTACATTTAAAAAATGTATAGGAAATCTTTTATTAACATAAAAGAATGCTTATATTGTTCTATACAAAATTAAAAGCATAGGATACAAAATTATATGTACAATATCATCTCATAAAGATATGTGTAGGAAGAAATATAGGTAAAATAAAAACATTATCATTATTTGCCTGTAGTTGGTGTTGGTTTTTGTTTTTATACTTTTCTGTACTTAAAAAATTAACAACCGAGACAGGAGGAGGATCAAGATGGCGGGCAAGAAACACTGCCAGACAGAGTGTCTCTGCAGAAAAGACAGATTCTAGCAGAAATTAGAAAAGAGAAGCAAGAAGGCAAGCATACAGCAGACGAGGGCCGGAAGGAGGGGTACCTGAGACCCCAGGAGACTCCACAGGAGGAGGCTGCGGAGGAGAACTGGAAGCTGATTTCTGCACGTTGGGGCACTGGGGACAAGGATCTGATCCCTACCAGCCTTTCACACTCCCTACGGAGGTAACGGCCGTGCCCCTCCTGCACTAGCCACTTCTGGCACGGGCGGCAGGAGATACACTGTGTGCTGCCAGTCCATGCAGGGGAATACTCACCTGGAGGTTTCTAGTCGCCCCCGCGGATCTTTTCGTGGTCCCCTGATCCCACGGCCCCAGCCCGAAAACCCATGCAACCCCGATGGGTTCTCGGGCTGAAACCACAGAACCCAGAGACTCCAACAAGCCAACAAGAGATGTCACACTCACTCACACACACACACAGAAAGCCGGCGACAAACAAAGCAGACAACAGACAAGTGGACAGTGAGGTAAACACACAACCTAACCTGGTCCGGACCTGCTTCCCAGTCTCCTCCTGACTGAGCCCTTGGCTACAAGGTCAGCTCCAGCTCCTCCTGACTGAGCCTTAGGCTACAAGGTCAGCTCCAGAGTCCCAACGGGGCCAGAGGACGTCTCCGCCTGGCTCCTACCGGCGACCCCCCAGCGCGTCTGCCTAGGTCCTGTGCCGGCATCCTGATCCGGGGTCCTGCAAGGGGATTCCGCGTCCCTTGCCCAACACCACACGGCTAGTCCGGGGTGGATTTTCACACTCCTCCCTCAGCCCTGAATTCTATCCGGTAGTCTGTGGGAAGGCAAATCCCGGACGAGCCCCAAATGTTAGGGACCGACCTTCCACAGCCCCACCGGACCAGAAAAGCAGAGACATGAGGATGCAATCACACAAGAGGAGGTTTTATTTTCTGGCTAGCCCAGGGTCCAACAACGCCCCAGAG